CATCAAGTTTTAAAGAAACCCGAACAAACAAGGAACAATACCTATGTAGTTTCTGATTTCTGTTTTAATTATTCTTGGATTGTGATCGTACTACATAACGATACGTGTTATTATATAATTTTCTAAATCAGATTGTTTAGTTATTGCATTCTTCTATAGTTTCGAATTTTTGTTTTTTTTTTTGTTGAAGAAATTTGGTTCTTTTTGGGCTGTCCTTCATCTAATATAAAGTAACCGTATTTTGAAAATCAGAAAGAGGGACAAATTGAAAACATGGGCTTTTCGATGACTTGCAGTAGTGACCGCTTGGTTCATCATAGAAGAGCAAAAAAATGGAAATATTTAATAGGTTGGTTGTATATATTTTTTTATCGGGCGAAAGCGGGAAAAAAGGGAGATGTTAAATCGGAACTAGTGCTTTAAAATCGGGACTGTCCCGCCTAAATCCGGACGGATGGTCACTTTAATCTAGTAAATAGGTTCCCAACGGGAGCGTTACCGCTCCCCATTAGGCGCGGGAATTTTATATGGGGGCTGTAGCGATCCAGAGGCAAATGGGGGGCGTTAAGGCAATCAACCCTATCACCACCAAAATATAAAAATATTTTTCAATTAATTTTTTTTTTTTAAAAAATATAGTTATATTTCAAATTAATGTTTTAGAAATATAAAAAATTTAAATATTGTGTGCCTATATGGTATCTATTTAGGAAATTAATATAATAAAATACAATACCCGTATTCATGAATAAATATTCTATCTTGCTAAGTAAATTATCTTATTGTTATATCATATAATTCACTCAAATATGTATGCAATCCAACAAGAACGTAAAAACTTGAAAATACTTGCTAACATACAAGTTAAGACGTGCATAAAGTCAAATCTATAAAAGGGATAACTCTAGGAATGTTTTGTTATTTCTCAATGTGCTTCGCCGTGATAAATAGTCGTTACATATTATTTTTATAACTATCTATACATCTGTTGAGAAATTAATTTGCATTTCTAAATGTCTGAATCTACGTCTAAAAAGAAATGCTGGTAGTACAGTATCGAATATATAAAATGGATTTAGGTACTCTCCTACAAACCATTCATTGCCTATGTGCCTAATTTGGCAAAACTTAGGCTATAAGAACTTTTAAATAAAATATATGCTGATAAGAATAAAGATTTATCATAATTTCAAGCCAACTGTATTAAACCTTTTTGCGTCGTCTTCTAAACAAAATTATGATATATATCATATAACACTTCATTGAAAATTGCAAAAGCTGGAAAACCACACACAATTGTTGAGGAATTAATTTTGCCATCAGTCAAAGAGGTAACAAAAACTGTTCTTCATTATAAAATACCGTTAGATATCACTAAAAAAATTCCCTCAGTAATTAGTCAGTGCAAAGAAAAATAGATGAAATGGCAGAAGATTTTGAAATATTATGTGAACACTTAAACCCAGACAGCACACCAAATCCTTTGGATATCTACTGACGTCCCAATATCCACTGAATGTCCAGTCCATGGTGGATATCTATTTTATATCCATTAGATGTAATTTATAGACATGCAAATGTCCATAAATAATAGTAATTATATAGCAAATTATTAAAAAATTACGCCACTGTGCTCGCCATTGTGTCTAATAGTACCGTTCAGATATTTAAAATTAATTTTTTTAAGGTGTATTCAATATCCCATGGACATTCAATAAATAATCAAAGTCTAGGCGCGAACGCAAACCATCGTGGATTCCACTAGATGTAATTTTTGATTTTGCTTACTAAGTATAGATGGCGATACCACTTTCGCATCTGCTCATGCTTAACCCGCCGTAATTGAGTTCGATCGAAATTTGTTTCCCAACCAGACTCCATTAGAGACTGGAGTCGAGAATTTCCATTTATTGCTGAAGAGTCCTAATAAGGATGACTTTCTCCTTAGTGGGCAAAATCAAAGGCAGAGTGTTGAAAATATTTTGAGTGTTGAAAATATTTTTTCTCTGCTATTTTCTTTCGACGTTATTCAATAAACATTGGTTACTTTTATGAACCTCTACTAAAGATACCCATAAAATATATTGCTGAATATTCGAATTCTTCTATATCCTGGGATATAGACGGACATTTGGTTGGATATCCATATCGGATATCCACAGAATATCTTTTGTGGATATCCAATATATCCACAGGATATCAGAAATATTCCGTGGATCTAATATGGATATCCAAATGTCCGTCTATATCCAGAATATAGAAGATATCCTATGGATTATCCAGCAAAATATCTAATAAGTATCTTCCAAACAATACGAGAAATCCCAGAGATATCCACAGAATATATTTTGTGGATATCCGATATGGATATCCAACCAAATGTCCGTCTATATCCCAGGATATAGAAGAATTCGAATATTCAGCAATATATTTTATGGGTATCTTTAGTAGAGGTTCATAAAAGTAACCAATGTTTATTGAATAACGTCGAAAGAAAATAGCAGAGAAAAAATATTTTCAACACTCAAAATATTTTCAACACTCTGCCTTTGATTTTGCCCACTAAGGAGAAAGTCATCCTTATTAGGACTCTTCAGCAATAAATGGAAATTCTCGACTCCAGTCTCTAATGGAGTCTGGTTGGGAAACAAATTTCGATCGAACTCAATTACGGCGGGTTAAGCATGAGCAGATGCGAAAGTGGTATCGCCATCTATACTTAGTAAGCAAAATCAAAAATTACATCTAGTGGAATCCACGATGGTTTGCGTTCGCGCCTAGACTTTGATTATTTATTGAATGTCCATGGGATATTGAATACACCTTAAAAAAATTAATTTTAAATATCTGAACGGTACTATTAGACACAATGGCGAGCACAGTGGCGTAATTTTTTAATAATTTGCTATATAATTACTATTATTTATGGACATTTGCATGTCTATAAATTACATCTAATGGATATAAAATAGATATCCACCATGGACTGGACATTCAGTGGATATTGGGACGTCAGTAGATATCCAAAGGATTTGGTGTGCTGTCTGGGTTTAAGTGTTCACATAATATTTCAAAATCTTCTGCCATTTCATCTATTTTTCTTTGCACTGACTAATTACTGAGGGAATTTTTTTAGTGATATCTAACGGTATTTTATAATGAAGAACAGTTTTTGTTACCTCTTTGACTGATGGCAAAATTAATTCCTCAACAATTGTGTGTGGTTTTCCAGCTTTTGCAATTTTCAATGAAGTGTTATATGATATATATCATAATTTTGTTTAGAAGACGACGCAAAAAGGTTTAATACAGTTGGCTTGAAATTATGATAAATCTTTATTCTTATCAGCATATATTTTATTTAAAAGTTCTTATAGCCTAAGTTTTGCCAAATTAGGCACATAGGCAATGAATGGTTTGTAGGAGAGTACCTAAATCCATTTTATATATTCGATACTGTACTACCAGCATTTCTTTTTAGACGTAGATTCAGACATTTAGAAATGCAAATTAATTTCTCAACAGATGTATAGATAGTTATAAAAATAATATGTAACGACTATTTATCACGGCGAAGCACATTGAGAAATAACAAAACATTCCTAGAGTTATCCCTTTTATAGATTTGACTTTATGCACGTCTTAACTTGTATGTTAGCAAGTATTTTCAAGTTTTTACGTTCTTGTTGGATTGCATACATATTTGAGTGAATTATATGATATAACAATAAGATAATTTACTTAGCAAGATAGAATATTTATTCATGAATACGGGTATTGTATTTTATTATATTAATTTCCTAAATAGATACCATATAGGCACACAATATTTAAATTTTTTTATATTTCTAAAACATTAATTTGAAATATAACTATATTTTTTAAAAAAAAAAAATTAATTGAAAAATATTTTTATATTTTGGTGGTGATAGGGTTGATTGCCTTAACGCCCCCCATTTGCCTCTGGATCGCTACAGCCCCCATATAAAATTCCCGCGCCTAATGGGGAGCGGTAACGCTCCCGTTGGGAACCTATTTACTAGATTAAAGTGACCATCCGTCCGGATTTAGGCGGGACAGTCCCGATTTTAAAGCACTAGTTCCGATTTAACATCTCCCTTTTTTCCCGCTTTCGCCCGATAAAAAAATATATACAACCAACCTATTAAATATTTCCATTTTTTTGCTCTTCTATGATGAACCAAGCGGTCACTACTGCAAGTCATCGAAAAGCCCATGTTTTCAATTTGTCCCTCTTTCTGATTTTCAAAATACGGTTACTTTATATTAGATGAAGGACAGCCCAAAAAGAACCAAATTTCTTCAACAAAAAAAAAAACAAAAATTCGAAACTATAGAAGAATGCAATAACTAAACAATCTGATTTAGAAAATTATATAATAACACGTATCGTTATGTAGTACGATCACAATCCAAGAATAATTAAAACAGAAATCAGAAACTACATAGGTATTGTTCCTTGTTTGTTCGGGTTTCTTTAAAACTTGATGCAAACCATCTGAAAACCAGTGGAACATTCGAATTCCAAATTATTCGTCTCGTACAACTATTAAACTGTCCACTGGTCAACTAGTCCTCTGATAGTTCTCAATGTATGTTGAAGAACCCGAACATACCTCTAATATATTCCATAAATTTATAAATCTTACCAGGTTATCCCGATAACCCAAGAGAACAACAAAATGTTTAAAAAATAGAATTTTAAAAAGTTACCACTAGATTTGTCATCATATAACAGCAAAAATACATTTTAGGCATATTTGGATTTATTAGTTTTCTCATATGACTTAAATGTGGGTAATTATTAACAGAGATACTCTCAAGCACAAATTTTGAGGGCAAGGACAATTTTTAGAAATTAATTAAATTATTTTTAGACTACATATTTTAATGTTTTCTTTGTGAAACAGATTTTTCTCACCCTCAAAATTAAAAAAAAAAAAAAAAAAACAACAAAACAACAATGAAAACATAATATGAGGAGTAAAATTCAAATTCTAAAGGTTAGTGTAGACTGGTGTGGACATGTGCTTCTTTAACTGCCTAAACTACAAGATTACCTAACATTGTAATAATAAATGTTTACAATGTACATTGTTTTGTTTGATAAATAAACCTACCAACAGAATTAGTCAAATTGCACGTTTTTCATAAATCTGAATAAGAGAAATAATTATTTTCATTTTACAGCATATGAACTATTAAAATTTAAACATCTATTTCGTACACCATAACAATGTGTCTCTTCCACCAATTCACTTACAAGATCTGTCTGAATACCTTGGAATATAATAATTCATCTTTCAGTTTTTAAAATAAAAAAAAAAAAAAATAACTGCGATTCACAAATAGTTTTATTCAAACTCTCCAAATATGTTGATTCTATTAATAAAATAGAGCCAAAATGTTGAAAGAATATTCCTACTAAAAATTTTATTTTGCAAAAATATTTTTTACTTTAGTGATTTTCCTTTTGACCTTAATCTGATCAATTTCATCATCATTTTTCACTTTCTTCTTAATTTTCTTCAAGGCAACTTTAGAAGCATCGACTTCATCTTGAATAATTCTCTTGATTTTCTTTTTCTTCTTTGGTTCATCGATAACAACTTCCATTTCATTAAATATATCTTCATATTCATTATCTTCTACTTCTTCATTTGCCTTAATATTTTCAGTATTTTCCTCATTATCTGATTCCTCTTCTTTAACTACTGGCCTTATTAATAAAGATGTTAAATTTACTTTCAAATAAACCTAAAACATTTAAAATAAGAGTACATTGCTAAAATAGTTGAACAGGGGAGTTAAAAATGCTTACCTTTTGAATTAAGGCTTTGGTTTCTAAATGGTGCAGCCTTACATGCCTATCCAAACTGGTTGAGACTACATACGGTTCAATTGGATCGCAAACAATGCTTGTAACACTTCCAGTAAATGTTGTAAATGTCCTCAAACATTTACCAACTTTCATATCAAGTAACTGCATATAACCTCTAGTTGTACCCACCAGACATTGTCTGTGAATCAAAAGAATTATCTTAAGTTTGTCAGTTTGTTATAAAAATAAAATAAAGAATAAAAACAAGAAAACAAATATTAATTTAACAAAAAATTACCTTTCCCTATATGCAGAAGCAATGGTAGTGTAACTAGCTTTTTCTTCTAAATATTTGACTACTGGTCTTCTTTGTGCTCTGTCATCATATACTAAAACATGCCCTTCTTTTGTGCAACAACAACCCAAATTAGGATCTTCAGGAAAAAATGTTATGCCTCTAATTGATGTTGGTATAGGTAAATTTAATTTATCATGTCCCATCTAAAATAAAATATAACCACAAGTGACTTTTTATTCACCACTGTATTTAAAGATAGGATTTTCATTAAAAAGTGGTTCTGCCAGAGGCTATCATAATTTGTAGCCATCATATTTATTGTAAATATTATTAAAATCTAAAGGATTTATGTAAAATCAACTTTTTAATATTAAACAATACTAACTGCTTTATATTCAATGGGTTTGTCTGGGTTCGAACAGAACCATCTATACCAGTTTTCAAATTCAGTTCATGAATTCATTTTTCATGAATACGCCTAAATAATATAATAACCTATTGCACTGAACGAGTGTAATTCACTGATTCTGAACTAGTTCGCGAAAGAACCAAAACAAGCCTAATATTTTATTAGAACAAAATCATTTCATATTGGAATAGGTATGTTGGTAATAATTTTTTTTAAATATCTAACCTCGAGTGTGTTTTTTTTTTAATAAAACTATAAGTACTAACCGATTTAGCTTTAAAAGTACACTTTTGTGTTTCAATATCCCAAAGTTTAAAGTCATTCTTCTCTCCTCCTGTCCCTATAACTTTACTTGACTCGTTAACTACCAAAGAATTGAGGGTTCCTTCAGGGTCCAAATTTATACCAAAATGCTTCTTCTTTTTCTTTCCATCTTTCCAAATATTGATGATACCATCTGATTTGCCAGCAATTATAAGGTTTTCTTTACAACCTAATCCTATGATACTACCCTTGCCTTCTAAGTCGGAAATTGTATCCAGGTATATGTTTTCGGTTGGATCATACCGATGTAAGTTGCCATTTTGATATCCAATTATTATTTCTTTTTGTTCTTTACTAAACGCTAGAGCAGTTATTTCAGAGGAAAAGTCAGGTTTCACATGTTTCAACTCCTTTGGTTTATCGGTGGTGGCTGAAACAGAATGATTATAACTCCGATTTAGATAATTCGATAAGTGCCCATTATAAATAAAAAGAAAATATACGTACAAAGTAAAAAACCTCTAGCAGTTCCGATAAAACAATTATACCGTGTAAGTTCCATTTGTAAATATACTTTTTTTTTTTAATTAAAAACAAACATTTATAGGTTATTTAACTATGGCTGCATGGCTGCTGCTGTCGCTGTCATGCTGCTGTATACGCACGTGTTGTGTGGTCTTTTATTATATGAGTTGCTAGCACAGAATCAGCTGGCCAGCATCTGGCCAGCCAGACGAAACAAATCTTAAATTATTATTAAAATGAATTTGATTTTCTACAAGCAACAGAATAAAACTCTAAACGATTGTATTCAAAAATCGAACATTTAAAGACCTAGTAGATAAAATTAATAAAATTTTAGATATTGTAAATAAATGCCGTACTGAACATCTTTATTATCAAGACCCATAGATCAGTTGTCAGTGTTGTCACAAATTTAATTTTGACATTTGATTAATGTCAAAGTAAGGTTATGAAAAGATAATTTTATGTAAAATTAAAATTATAAATAATACACCATAATTCTTACAAATAATGTCTAAAAAAACATTTGGATTTTGGTTTAAAGAGAATAAAGTTGCAATAGTAGTAATACCCCTAATAATTACAATACATTGGGGATGGTACGAACTTCAAAAAGTTCCACATTTAGGGGGTAAAGTACCTAAGGAAATGCCCATTATTAGTGTAAGTACTTAATAATATAAATGAAGAGTAATTATTTAAAATTTGACAGTGATATGTGGCCTGATGAATAAATGATAATTTATGCTTTATATAGTAGAAATAAAATAGGTATGTACATTTAAAATAAATATACCTATTTATTAAAATACCTGGTCAGAAATCGGTCTTAACCTTTAGGGTGGATTTATAAACTACGTTCATTTCGCGCTCAGTTCGAGTTGGCAAGACAATTCCACAAAATAAAATTATATTTTGGTGTTATTTTTGTTTTAATTATATTATATTTGTAGATGGTGTTGGTTATAAAATAATTATGAATCTGTTATAATTTCTTATCCAAAACATACTTACCGTGCCATTCTGCTCTGTTTATGTTGAACTCAAACTGAGCGTGAACTAGTGTTGCGAATATCCGTATCTTTTTAGTATTCGGATAATACGTATTCGGAAGGCTCTATCAAGCTAGCGGGCACTCGGTGGCGGCACCATTCAAGACCTGGCGGGTTTTTTGTAGCTTTTTTGTTACGCTATTTGCAAATTTGTAGCTTAGCCCAGGTCCGAAAAAACAGCGGATCCGCTAGCTTGAATTTCCATAAATTCCATAATAGCGGCACAGATTCAGACCCAGCTGGTTTTTCGTAACTTTTTTGTAGCTTTTTTGTTACGCTAGTCTCCCTTTTGTAGCTTGTACTGAACCTGAGAAAAGCGCGGATCCGCTAGCTTAGCGGATATTTGTAGCGGCACCAGCTCGGACCCGGATCATTTTTTGTAGCTTTTTTGTTACGCCTGTCTCGATTTCGTTGCGAGGCCTGAACGTGAGTAATAATCGTTCCTCCACGAGCGTGAGAGAAATGTTCGTTAATTTAAAATCAATTTTCGGCCTCTACAAGTAATAGGTGCAACTCGATAGTGTGACTATCTGTTGATAGATGGCACCAGTATTGCATTTCACGAATTATGGCCATCTTCCATCCAATTTTTGGGAAATTTAGATATAATCTCAGAATCGGACATTTGTTTTTAAATGTTTTTTATTGTTGTTTATGTATTTATACTTTTGTTGAATCAAGAATATTCTTACATCTTTTTTGAATGATTTCCTTAACCAATCGTTTGGCAGTATTTATGGACCATCAGTGTTTAATTCAGCTATATCAAGCTAGAAGGCACTCTGTGGCGGCACCATACAAGACCAAAGTGTTTTTTTTTGTAGCTTTTTTGTTACGCTATTTACGAATTTGTAGCTTGACCTGGGTCCGAAAAAACAGCAGATCCGCTAGCTTGAATTTCTATAGTAGCGGCACAGATTCAGATCCAGTTGGTTTTTTTGTAACTTTTTTGTAGCTTTTTTGTTACGCCAGTCTCCTAGTATTGAGCCTGAGAAAAGCGCGGATCCGCTAACTTAGTGGACATATGTAGCGGCACTACCTCGAGCCCGGCTCATTTTGTGTAACTTTTTAGTAGCTTTTTTATTACGCCGGTCTCGCCTTCGTTGCGGCGCCCGAGCAAGAGAGAAGTGTGTGACTCTTAATTTAAAATCAATTTTTGGCTAAAAATAACAATTCTGTAATGTGTATCAATAGGTACCGCAGGCACTCACGTTTTATTTTTGGCCAAAACATTATTCTTTACTTTTTAGTACACTTTAATAATATAAGCGTGGCTATAAAAAAAATATTTTTTCCTATTGGTCTATTCCCGGTGACGTCACAAATTTTAAAAAATGAATAACTCAGGCAAATGAATAGATAAAAAAAAATTAAATGCAGCTTTATTTTGAACTCTATTATTCATAAAAAATAAATGCAAAATTTTTGAACATGCCCCATTATTAAGAGCTCAGGATCAGAAAATCACGATATTTTCTGTCAGAGGTAATTAAAACCGATGTTGGTCACTATGGATATTAATGAGTAAGTGAGGCAAATATACTCATAGATTTTAGTAAGTTAGATAAACAAAGCAAAGACAGATTGTACCTTTATACATACCTGACATAAAATGAACCGATCTGTATCTTATTTATTTGGGATACAAAATTAATGGTTTGAGTATAAAATATATATTAATTATATTATAAGAACCCTTGATATTCTCAAGAATGAGAATAAATTGAAAACAATTCGACACATTTGTTCAAAAACTTGTTGCTAGGTGATAGCTACCAAGCAGTTATTTTCACTACAATAATGTTGTGATTGGACAGAATTAAACACTGGTCCATAAATACTGCCAAACAATTGGTTAAGGAAATCATTAAAAAATGATATAAAAATATCCTTGAGTCAACAAAAGTATAAATACATAAACAACAATAAACAAACATTTAAAAACAAATGTCCGATTTTGAGATTATATCTAAATTTCTCAAAAATATATTGGATGGAAGATGGCCATAATTCATTAAGTGCGATACTGGTGCCATCTATCAACAGATAGTCACACTATCGAGTTGCACCTATTACTTGTAGAGGCCGAAAATTGATTTTAAATTAACGCACATTTATCTCACGCTCGTGATTATTACTCACGTTTAGGCCTCGCAACGAAATCGAGACAGGCGTAACAAAAAAGCTACAAAAAAGTTACAAAAAATGAGCCGGGTCCGAGCTGGTGCCGCTACAAATATCTGCTAAGCTAGCGGATCCGCGCTTTTCTCAGGTTCAGTACAAGCTACAAAAGGGAGACTAGCGTAACAAAAAAGCTACAAAAAAGTTACGAAAAACCAGCTGGGTCTGAATCTGTGCCGCTACTATGGAATTTATGGAAATTCAAACTAGCGGATCCGCTGTTTTTTCGGACCTGGACTAAGCTACAAATTTGCAAATAGCGTAACAAAAAAGCTACAAAAAACCCGCCAGGTCTTGAATGGTGCCGCCACAGAGTGCCCGCTAGCTTGATATAGCTTATTCGGAACCAAGAGATATTCGGATTCATCATCCGGATACGTATCCATATTCCATGTGGGTGAAATCATAATAATACGCAACTGTAAATACACCGCGACCTTGGGAAGTGCTTGGGAATCGGAACCGGGCAGTGTTGTCAATCCTGGCAGAATTTATGTTTGAGAGTGAAGTAGCAGACGCTTTTAATGTTTTAGAATAATAAACACAAGATAAATCTCAAATATCTTGTTTTTTTATCATAATATCAGAAACAACATTTTTCATTAACTGAATATTATTTATATTTATACAACTTCATGTTACCTTTAAAATATGCTTAGTACATGCCGACTAACCGACTATGAATTGCAACAACGCTAGACGATTCCGATTTCGTATCGGCTGCCACCAATGCAAATCCGGCAATCGGCTCTGTCATGAACAGAACATGAAGCACATTTTCTGTGATGAAGCATTCGATTCGTTTATTACGATTTTGTTTCTGTCCTTTTTGATACCGAATCCGCATTCGAATTTACACATTGATTCCGGAATATCCGGATCCTTTTAATATTCGGATTCAACGGATTTTTGGATACGTATTCTTACATCACTAGCGTGAACTGAACGCGAACTGAACACTATGTATGTATAAATCCACCTTTAATAAAAAAAAAGCTAAAAACGCTTAATCTTAATTGTTTATTTTGGGGATTATTTAATCCTCGGACGGGCGCGCTTTGCAAAATTACTAGGGGTGTGCTGCTACACTGCATGCCGCAAGCAGAAATATGTAGATTAATTCAAAACAACAAAATTTAGTTTCTAATATAGTACAAAATTCTTCTGTTGTCAAATGTTTTTTAATGTATATTATCGCCAAAAGAAATACATTTTCATTTGTTTTACTACAAAAAATTACACTACTCAGAACTGGGATAAAATAATGACCTCATACAATCGGTATACTGAAGTAGTATTCGTGCCAAAGAAATATATATTTTTTATGCAGATATGAATGTTTTTGTAGTTTTTTTTATTTGTTGTCTTTTTTATGCTACTGCAAAATACTTTTACTTTGATCAATTGTGAAAAATTTTTTGCAAAAAATTATTATTTTTTAAAATTAGATATAAAAACAGTAGACGTGTTATGAAACATTTAAAAAAATCCTTAGACACATATGGATGTCACTCTGTATACTAAAGGATACAATCAAATTGGAATTGCCCTGATTTTAAAAGTTACCCAATCGTCAATAAGTAGAGTGCTTAGGCAAGAAGACTAGGGCCTCTCAAGACGTCCTAGTCCTGGTAAATATAAAATAAATAAGCATATTTCAAAAATGTGTGATAATTGTTTTGAATAGTGTAATATAACTGAAAAAAACCAAATTTAATTTAATTACATGATCAGGCGCGATGTAGCACGAAATGCCGTAAACTCAACACCTATTTCTTCAACATCTCAGTGACAACTGAAGAAAATATAAACCGCCTTAGTTTATGTATAATAGGTTGTCTAATATAGTCATTTTAGCATAGATAGACGGACAATAAGCTTGCAATTAACAGTTTTTGCGCAATCTGCAAATTATTGAAAAGGCGGCACACAGTTCACATAGCGCGCCCGCCCGAGGATTAAGGGAGATTTATCAAGCCCCTTGAGTTTCTATCTGGATCGAACCCGTGAAATAAATGTAGTACCTAATTATTACTAACCTAACTCATTTAATTTGTTTTTAGGCTTATAAAGTATTTAGCGAACGAATAAAAGAAAAGGTCAAAAGTATTTCAACATCTGATGCAGGCAAATGATGATTACCCTAGTACGTTGTGGTTTTTGTACATAATAAATATTATATAAATTGTATATATTTTTTAGTTGTGAAATAAAAAAATTGAAATAAAAATAGTGCTTTATAAGGATGAACTGCCCCTCTAGGCAATATACCTACGCCACTGCCTAGAATCTTGTATAAAAGATTTATTATTATAATCTAGGAATGGAATACTATTTGTCTGCATTTGACTTACCCTAGAAAGCAATAAGAAAACTTTAATTTACAAAAAAATAATTTCAATTTTTGATATCCTAACATATAGATTAATTCTTCAATTTTTTTAAGATAATTACAGGATGCTTAGGTACCTGCGGTCTAGTGATTTTGACATTGGTATTGTGTACTAAGGGTTATTGCTTTTTTTGTTTGCTTTCATCCCACTTGGCATTCCAAAATTTTCTTCTGCATTTTTTATTAGGAGGGTTGTTTTGAATTTTGTTTAAAATTCAGGAAAATGAGTGAAACACTGGTTCTTTTATATTTATTTAAAATATTCTTAACTAGACAGGCTTTTAATTTTTTTACACAAAATAAATTTATCTTTCTAAATATTTTGTAATCAGGTATAGATATGCTATCACCATCAGAAAAAATAAAGCCTGTAGTAAATATTTGTACATTCAAATTATTGTTTTTTGTTTAGTGCGTTTTACAAAACGTGCCATTAACAATAAATCTGTCAGTAGAAAAAATATGCTCTTTAAGTCATTTAAAGAACGAAAATCTTTGTCATATGGTCGGTAGATGATGATCGGCTTTAGATTTTTGTAAACTGTTGCTTGGCTTTAAAGGACTAACAGGCTTGGACCCCGTCAGTTGGGGCAAAGAGGTCCCAAGAAGTGAATTCTGAAAATAAATAGAATAATTATTGATCAAATTCTCCCCATTTGAATGTATATAGGTATTAGGTGAAATCAAAAAATATTCGCCCTTATCTAAGATTTTGATACCTATTTCAAATAAATATACTATACAGTGTGTGTCCACGGATGGACTTTACTTGAAAAAATATTTATTTAAAATTTAAAAAAACAAGTAATTCTTCATAATTTATTTTCCTTGTTAAATAAATACGTAGAGAAACTTCGATTTTGTTGAGCAATAAAAAATACAATTGTTGATTTGCGAAAATTTTATGTATTTTCAAGTGCTCAAATGAAGAGTTTGCAAGGATAAATCGAAAAGCCAAATGAAAATTTGTGTAAAATTACTTAAACATTTTTAAATTTGCAAATCCACAATAATTATTATTGTTGTATATTTTGCACACTCTTTACAAAATCGGAGTTTCTCAACATTTAACCAGCAAAAGAGATTAAGAATTAATTTTTTGAAAAATGTTATAAAAAGAGTTTTACAAGTATAGTTAAGTCTACCGGGGACACATGAACTACCTATATAGAGCTGTTCATAAGTAAAGGGGCCCATGTTACGGCAAATCAGAATATTTTGATAAAAGAAATTTACTATGTCCCCATTACATATGGAGTCTGCACCTTGTCTAAAAGGGAAGAGGGTTGAAAAGTACTTCGATTTTAAGTAAAATAAAAGGTAATTTACGAGTGGCTGCTGGGGATAACACATGGAAAATTCGATTTTTCCTAACAAAAACGAAAGGTTATTTGTTGCCCATTTTTCCACGCAAGCCATTTTCACTATATGATTAATTAATAGAACTAGGCTTCGGAAAACCAAAGGCGTAAATGTTGCAAGTGCCTAAAAGGTTAAATAAGGGTGTAATCTTCTAAGGAAAAATCGAGATTATTTTTCCACACAAGCCCATCGAATGTATGAAAACGTATGTCGTCACTAGTCCGAAAAACATTTTCTTGAATAAGTGCATTTTGGGGTCGGAAAATTTTTCTGATAAGGAAAATCGAATTTTCCATGTGTTATCCCCAAGAACCACTCGTAAATTTTCTTTTATTTTACTCAACATCGATGTACTTTTCAACCCTCTTCGAGGCTTGTATGCGAAAATGGGGAACCTAAATCGGTCACTATCTGACGGTCTATAACAGTTGATGTATTTTTCTTTATCCGTTCATGAGTAATCGAGAATACAGACACGCAGATATACACAGATTCATCATCGCGAAAATAGTCTAAACGGATTCAGGGTACCCCAAAACGTAAAAATCCGTTGAAAAAAATCGTGATTTCTATACTATCTGTCTGTATAAAGACAGGAAAATAAAAAAATTATGCTGTAACCAACTTTGAGCAAAAAAATACTTTTATTGCAGAATATGGTCCTGACGCAATATCATTTTGGCCAAAAAGCTGGCAACGTCCTGGGAATTTTCCGAGCTAATATTGTTATGTGACCTATTGGCTGGAATTGAAGATGACGCGCCCTTTTTGGAGTTAAATATAGTTTAAAAAACTAAAAAACACGCTTTTAGAGCATATCAAACTAAAAAGTTAAAAATAATTTTTCAAATAAGCTTAAAATAATAATAAATGGAAAATACTAGTATTATTGTGAGAAAAGCGTCGGGCGCTCGATGTACGAGAAATATGGACAAAGCGCCTCACGCTTTTTTTACAATAATACTAGTATTTTCAATTTAATGTTGTTTTAAGCTTATTTGAAAAATTATTTTTATTTTTTTAGTTTGATATGCTCTAAAAGCGTGTTTTTTAGTTTTTTTAAAATATATTTATTTTTCATTTTTTAGTTCGATGTATTATAAAAGCATGTTTTTTAGTTGTTTTAAACTATATTTATTTTTTACTTTTTAGTTCGATTAATTATTAAAAAAAATTGCTGAAAAAAAACAATTTTTTTTTCAGCCGTGGACAGGATTAGAACCCACGATCGGTGAGTCGACGTAAGCGAAGACCCGCGCCTTAGACCGCTCGGCCAACGAACGAACTTGAGGTAGTGGGATATACTGACAGTAATAATCTACTTGCTTTTAGTCCAAAGGAGAGTTACAAACATACATACATACATACATACATACATACATACATACATACAGGTGAAGCTAATAAAAGCGTGTTAAAAACAAATAGGTTTTTGTTTATATAGTTATACCTACGCTTTTCAATAGGCCCCTGGGCACAACCTGCTAATTTTTGTTGTTTAATGACAGCTATTCGCTCCGTGCGCGGCAGCAGCGCCAATTCGTTTTGGTACTAATGGACTATTTCTGCGTATACTGACAAATACAATTTTTAATAGAATTCGTAATTAAAAAGCATATATGTTAGTTTTAATAAAAGTATATGGAATTGTAAAACAAAGAATTGTGTTTTAAAGTTTTCTTTAGAGGTCCTTAAATAGTTTTTGCAAGCAGAATTAGACAGATACTTATCTTCAGCTGTTAAATTACTAAATTGAGTTTTTTTAATTATTTCAGAGTTGAATCAGTGAGGATAATAATTTTTCGGTTGTATCTTTTAAAGGAACATTTTGTAGAAGATAGTATAGAGTCTCTCGTAAAAAAGTATTAATTGCTTCATCCACGCAAATCAAGCTGAGAGAATAACACATAGGCACGCCTATACCTATTTGAGTAATGAATAGGTACTCACCCTTGACTTATCTCGTATTCTTTCTATGTTTTGTACATCGCCTTCGTCAACTTTAAAATTGAAATTTTCAAAATACTCATGGGTAAGAAGTCTTTCGCACGTCCATCTTTTGGTAGGATCTTTATCTAAGCATTTCTGAAAATTAAAAGGTATAGAAGTTAATTCAGGTTCTTTACCATCGTTTATTTATTGTATTCATAAATAAATAGAATATTGTTTATTAATGAATGATTATGTTCAGATTTTAACACTTTTCTTTATATTCACCAATTAAATTAACATCCTGTATATGAAATTAATTATTTATTGAATTAAAATGTTTAATTTCATATGCAATTAATAATAAACACGTTCCAATTTCGTATCTAGTTCGATGTGTAAATTATAATAATAAAAATGCTGACTTATTTCAAAATTATTTTCAAAACATTGAACTAGAGAGACTAAAATTGGAATAAAAATATTTTTCTAATGTACATTTAAATAATTAAATAATATTAATTGTTATTGTATATTGTTTATTCTGTGATAATATAAATGTAAATGCAAACGAAAAATAAACAGATTGACTAACAAGATGTGGTAGTATACTTTACAAAATTATCTCTAAAATGAGATTCATGAAAACCATCTTGTGTTATTAATTACAACAATTATCTTTGAAATTTTATTCATGGTCCTTCGAGCAAGTTTAAAAATTTTGAAAAATACCTATGGAAGAAGCAAACTTCAACATGAAGAAAAACAAGAAAATGAAGTCTTTCTGCCAACCTTAATAACAAGTTTGACCAAATCCAAGCCAAAATCCAAGAAACAATGCTTTAAAAACAAATCGAAGCTCGTATCAAGCGAATTCGACAACTATACGACCAAGGGACTTCCGTTCGATTGAAGTTCTCCATACTCAAACCCAAGAAGCATCAACGCTTTAGACAGATAACTTAAATTCCATAATTTCCGAAGAAAATGCCGTTCAAGATGACCTTCATGAGAAAATTTGAAAGAAAATCAAGAATCGCAACTATATATCGAATTACATCACAGCCACTATCGTGTTACCTACACTAATAGTTCTATGGGTCTGCTACACATGGGCGAAGTTAGGGGGGGGCTTGGGGGGGCTAAGCCCCTCCAAAAACCAAATTAGCCCCCCAAAAATAATTCGAACATTTATCGCACATCTATCCACACATTTCAGATTTCAGAACAGAAATTAATAAAGAAAAATCGTGCCATTTGATTGATTCTGAAATTTTACATTTAGTTCAGGAGGCAGTGAATTTTACTCGTACTCATTTTTCCAATCGGTGTATACGAAAATAAACTGTTCTCTTAGTGACAAAAAACAAACATTTTGAGTCTGACACTTATTTTCCCAGTCATAAATATTTTACATTTACTAAACTAGAACATAAAGCTTATAAAAATAGCAGTTTGGAATATCTCAGATAGTGGAAAGTGAGTGTGGCAGAAAATTTAGCATATAAATTGATACAATCATGAACTGTTAATAATAATAAGTCTGGCTGATTTACGAAATTGGCAAATGAGTCTGGTAATATCTTCAAAATCGAAAAAATATAATATTTTTGCTTTTATTTTCCCGGGTTTGAAAATTTGTCATGTAATAGATTATATTATAATTTTACAGCTCTATTTTATAACAGATCAAATACCGTTATTTTCAAACGCTTCTATGAAAAATTTCCGGAAATTTTTCTTTTGGTGGGTACCCTGAACGAAATTATACTGAAAATTTTTTTATGCATATGTTTTATATGTTGTTCTATGGCCAGCTTTGAAAATTTGATTTTAGTCGTTTTAATGTATGTCTGTCAAGTTTTGAAATTTGGATATTTTGGTGTAAAATTTTCTTACCCAATACCACTGGTGCCTAAATTATTATCAGTAAATTTTTGCTCACTCACGCATATTTTAAGAAAAATATCAATCGTCTTCGACTCAGGATAAATTTCAAAATATTCGTAAGTTCGAAAAAAATTTCAGAAATAATTTAGGCACTGAAAATATAGGTCTGGCTGACAATTAAAATCACGAAGGCCTGCCAGACTCACAAGTAGTGTAAGGCCGAAGGTTCGGTTACGGTTTTGGCCAACTTCGGCTTAAAATAAGAGTTTCTACTACAGTTTCGGTTTCGGCGGAAAACTGGCCGAAACTGCAGCCAACTACGAAACTACTTTCGAAAGTTTACGTATCACACTTGGTTGTGTCCAGCACAATGGCGACTGTGCCGGGTGCCATTCCTACACAGGGCACGTACTTCTCTGCTTTGTTTCAAGTGAACATTCTTCAGTGCTCCTGGCCTAATTTATTCGTATAAAAGGAGCATTTTTTTAGGTGAAACGTTGAAAAAATATTATTTCTAGCCTACAACGTTAGACTGTTTACTTATGAATATTAATTTAATTATAAGTAACAAACATATTTAATTATCTGAATTTGTTTTTTTTTTAAATAAAAATTACATTATATATATTTCCCTTCATAATACTATTTTTTGTTACAAAAAATCTAGAGACAGATGCAGAAATGATTGCTACTTTGTAATTCACTTATTTTTTTTTTTTTTTAGTTTCAAAAGTAATAAAAAAAAACAATGTCAATAAATTTATTAATGGCTTCTTTTGATCACATAAATAAATATGTAATAAGTAAATGTAGCTAAAATTTATAATACGAGTTAATTAGTCTTAAACAAAGATATTGCAAATTTTAATAAGAGATTGCCTTAAAAGAAAGTTCTTATTTCTGTTTCGGTTTCGACTAAGAAAGGAGCCGAAATTGGGTTTCGGTTTCGGTTATAAAACCGTATTTCGGTCGGACCTGACAAGCCAGGTAGTTAAACGAGGAGAGGAATAGTAATCGAACGTGCAGATTTTAGCGCGCCTGACGATCATTAGACAAGTCTGGCAAGGCTTTCGGGGTATTCCACATTAGCCAGATTGTATTTTAAGCTGTTATCATAATATACATTTTTCTAGTACTGCACTTGTAACAGGGATCCTTACTGGGCATTGCCAACTAAAAGGACATCTTAGTAAACTGAGAGTAGTAGAAAATAGTGAGTGAAGACTCTGTGAGGGGAAGGACGAAACCTTCATTTACATTCTAACTGAATGTGTAGCACTCCAGAATCCAAGGGCACTATACCTAGGAGCATATCAAATAGAAACTTGAAGCCACTCCAAATCCGACACTTCCTTGAGAAGATATAATTGAAAGGGTCGTTATAGGCATTGAGACATTTCCTTGCTGCATTAGCGACAGAAGGGAGCACAATAGATATTTTAGGTCGCAGTGTATTAACACCCCATTCCCAACATAACATAGCGAGAAAACTGCAAAATAATGAAATCCACAAATCCCAGTTCATATTTTGGACATCCAACTACTATTATTTTTAAAATTTTAAATTCTGACAAACTGTCAGTATATTTTTTAGTCATTAAGATTACATATACGTTAAAATTAGTTATTTTTGTTTAGAATCGATAAAAAATAACATTTTAATTTTATTTGGGCCACATTTAAAAAAGTAAATTTTAATCAAATTGTATGAAACTAATTTATTTACGAGTATTAAAATTAAAAACCTAAAAGTGGCGGTGGAGCTGAGGACAGAGCATTTGCCTTCCATGCGAATAGCCTGGGTTCGAATCTGGACTATATAGGGGCAAATTTTTTTTTATGTTTTTTATTTTATAAATTAATAAAATTTATAAATTATTTTAAAATGGCTTATTTTGTCTAAACCTAAAATAATTTTTTAAATTTGTAGATTTTCGTTAGTAGTTCGTAGAAAAAATATACTGCACAACTCGAGTGGATTGTCCATATCTACTCTTGTTGCGAAAATTAGGGAGATTTTTGTGATGAAAATTATTGTGATGAAAATTATTCAGTTTTTTCACTTATATATGATATTTTATTCATTTTCATAGATTCGCCAGAATTTTTTTACTTAACTTCAGTATACCTCTAGAACTATTATATTTTATATGACTAGGGTTAGATCTTTAGCCCCCCCAGATCTGATGACATAACTTCGCCCATGCTGCTACAAAACAAAATCTGCCGCCATCTCCGCCTTGGCCCAACAGCATCGCCGAATCACGCAGAGATCGAACTCCAGAGACTAGGGTCAGTTAGGAACGAAAATCCTCGTGAGTAAAGATGAGAGTCGCCAGTATGTTTAGATTTGAACATTTTTCTTTATATTCACCAATTAAATTAACATCCTGTATATGAAATTAATTATTTATTGAATTAAAATGTTTAATTTCATATGCAATTAATAATAAACACGTTCCAATTTCGTATCTAGTTCGATGTGTAAAGTATAATAATAAAAATGCTGACTTATTTCAAAATTATTTTCAAAACATTGAACTAGAGAGACTGAAATTGGAATAAAAATATTTTTCTAATGTACATTTAAATAATTAAATAATATTAATTGTTATTGTATATTGTTTATTCTGTAATAATATAAATGTAAATGCAAACGAAAAATAAACAGATTAACTAGCAACATGTGGTAGTATACTTTACAAAATTATCTCTAAAATGAGATTCATGAAAACTATCTTGTGGTATTAATTACAACAATTATCTTTGAAATCTATTCAGATTAAACGATTTCAATCTAGGCAACGATGACATTAAAATGCTCTTTCATCAAAATCTTCTACCGTACCTTCCATTAAAATTGCGCTATTTTTCAATTTTAAGTCTTAAATTAAATTATTTGCAATTTAATAAAAAGCTGTATTTGGAGTGTTTTTTTGTGCGGATTAATTAGTCTTGACCTACTTTATCATCTCACGAAGTGGCATATCTACAACCTAATAGTGCATGCAATAAAGCATAATACTTCTGTGTCCTATCTGCAAAAACACGAATATTTTCCTCACAAACTGTTCTGACTTTGTGTATCTAAGTGAAGTAAAATGATATGTGATCCACAGGATAAACTAAAACCTAATTGAACAGCCGCTATGTTTATTTTGTATAGAATCTTATGGCTGTATATCGACAACTTCAAGAACGTACTTGCATTCTGACTTATCCTTGCCTATGCTATGTACAATGTATGTTTTTGGAGCATCTTGAAAAAAACAAATTTTACTAACAAACCTAGTTATAATACGTACCGAAAAATAATTAAATAGCAAAATTTATCTTCCTACAATCCAAAAGAGAATCAATGTTCCCTCTATATAACTTACTTTCAAGGAGATGTCACTGTAAAAAAAATTTAATAGACAAGTACACACAGCATATTACAGAGAAACAAAACTACGAGAGTTAAAAGCTGAAGACAAAAACAGGACAATAGAAGACAAATCATTTCTCTGTGGAGTTTTCGATTTTCAATAATTTATATACTTGCCAAGGAGCAAAGAGAATGCTATCTGCTACAAAATGAGTTTAGAAGCATTTAACTTTACTTTTTACAATATTGGTACCAAAGAATGTCTTTGCTTTCCATTGAATGATATTTTGAGTAAGAGAGGTTCTGAAATCGCTACATATATTTATAAATATTTTTTACGAATTACTACCCTTTCTTTCTACTCGGACGGCTGCTATGGCCAGAATAAAAATCTTTTGATAATTGTGAAAAAATGTCACTTTTCGAAACAAACCATGGGCAGGGTGAGGGGGATTCTGCCAGTGGCGTAACTACAAATTTAGGGCCCCCCGCAACTTTCAACATAAGCCCTAATAGACAAGAATTTTAAGTAGTAATTAAAACCTAAAAACTTTTTTGTGGGGATTTGCTTAAGTATTCTTTTTTAGAATTTTACACAAAAACTCTTTTAAAATAACGAAGGGTTGAATTGGATGTTGGATGTCAATCCTAGTACATACGTACTACATTCTTGTTAGATAAATTAAATAATAAAATTTATAAACTTGTTCATTGTACCAATCATCTTAAATCTGATAAGTATAAGTAAACTGTATAAAAAATAAATGAACCAAATCTATATAGTTACTAAGAACACTATTTTCTAGCTTTCTTTCCAGAAAATGAAGTAATGGCTTGGCCAATGTCAATTTCTCGCGCCAAATCATTTTCGATTGCCAAAAGTGCTAGAGAAATTTTGTTTCTCAAATAATTTTTAATTATTTATAATTTAGAGAAAGACCTTTCATTACTTGCGACGTTTATGGGTGAAGTCAAATACATTATCAGAGCTTTAATTGTATTAGAAAAGCTAGATACGCATGTAGGATTATCAACTAACAAATATTTTAAAAACTCAGTTATATAATAATAATACTCTCCCTAATTCACCCCCTTACGAGTGAATTTTAACCCCAAAAGCTGAGCTTGTGCGGGGAAAGGGACGGTTATTATTATTATTTGCCGTGGCGCTCCGGGGCGACTTAAAGATGATAGATGGTGCCATTTGACTTACAGGTGAGGAAAACCTCACCCACCATCATCGAGACCGTAATGCATGGCGATTTTATAATCTGCATATCATATCAACTGAAATTGAATTTCTATTAATTTAATTAAAAATCCACATGGTCTGGTCTGAGATTCGAAGCCCGTCTGTCTCTGACCATAAACTTGCCTATAAATGAATATAAGCGTGTTAGACTGCTACACCACCCACCCGACAATATTCTCAATATTTTTTTAAATTATTGAACAACATTACTCTTATTAATTTAGACAACATTAATGCATATTAAATTGTCTTTTAAACAGCATATTTTTTTTGATCTGATAAAACAACAGTTAAAAAATGTTCTTTAATTTTTGTTGATAAACCCTGCCAGTCATTAAGTCCCGATATCCATCTTGACCCTAATCTATGCTGAACAGTGCTAAACAGCTAACATGGCAAACAATAAGCAAGATCTTTGTTTTTCGAATAACACACCCAATTATTATTTTTAGTGTAATAATAACTTTCTGAAAAGGATCTTTGTTTTTGATCCATCGGAAAAGGACCATTAGGCTTTGATAGTCCATAATCAATAATTAGCTTCCTTAATTTATTAAATGTTGAAATGTCAACATTTGATAAATGCGCAAAATTAGTAGGATAGGTATTATTAACATTAAAAAGGGTAACCGAATTATTTTCTTCAACTTCTGAAACCTATATCATCAAACTGCTGTGTCTGCTTCACTATCGATATCTGGTTGAGTAGTACTGGTATCTACAGTGTCTATGCTCATGGGATATGTTTTTATTAAATTTTGAGTTGGTCTTGGTATAATTGTAATTGAATATTAACATGAACACTCGCGCCACTCGTAGAGGGAGTCTGATGATCTACAACGTTTAAGATCGTTGAACTTGATGGTTTCAGATTAGGCAAAAGAAAGACATTGATTTTGGGTAGTTTTTCTTTTGCTTCATCAAACAATTTTCTCCTTTTTTCCTAAGCTCCACTTAAAAATAAAAAAACTATCAAGACAAATAGCTAGGTATCAAGTTTTTTAATAAAATCTGCAATTTTAGAAAAACGGAGTACAGTGTGGTAACGCTGCGCCAGGAATTCTCAACTGACTGCAGACTATGTTTAGTATTGTCTAGATTAGAACACAGCCCAATATAACATAATATTTGAAGCCAAACTAGCTAAAGAAATTGACACGAACACAATATTATTAAAATATACATACTTAATTACTTGCTCTGCTGATTTTTAACACCTGTTAACCACTAACCAATAACGACACGCATCTTTAACAAGTGTAAATTAGTAAACTACGCTTTATACACAGGTTCCAGAGTTGCAGCATTTTACAATGTTCTCACTAATTGTCACGTATGATTATTTTAAGCTACTTTACTTACAAAATATTTTTAAAGTCAAGATTTACCCTTTTACAAATGTTTTTTTTTTATTTTCTCTCTTCGCAACCGGTCGGCGGTCGGCCGCCGGGGGTCCTTTTCTCCTCTGTCCAACCGGTCAGCCGGAGGCTCCCAGTACCAGCGGGCCCCCCGCGTCGCGGGGGCTTGCGGGGGTGTAGATACGCCACTGGATTCTGCCCATAGTACAATAAATACTGCCATAAAAGGTGCTGGGGATCTTTTTAAACCCTCACAATGGTACCCAATTTTTGGATTGGTCAGAAGAAAACAACCTTAGTTCGTCATTCCAATGAAGTACTCAGATTTCTTGGATTTTAAAAATCTGTTAAAATCTATAAGAATTCTATCAATTAGAGAAAGTGCTTCAGGAGAAAATTTAAAGTGGATTGCAATTATAGAATTTGTGGTCCGAAGAGACATGCCTTCTAATTTTTTTAAACGAAGCCATTACATAAAGAGTATGACAGTATTGAGCAAAAAAAGACTGAAAGAACCAGTAAAGCTAACAAGCAAGAAGTATTATGACTTAATATTCGTAAGTCAAAGTCAAACACTTGTGGTCCGAATACCTGAATTCCAAAAATATCAGGAATTACCTCATGAAGAATGATAGTTTTAAAAGCAATTCCAACTATTTTCCATCATTAGTTGTCAGTTCTGTTTATTTTTCTTAATAAAACATTAAATATATTTTTTATTTGTTTGTCATTTCCTAAACATGTACTAAATATAATCACAGGCAGATAAAATAAACATAATATTGCATTAAAAACAATGACAACTAAACTAATAAAATATACTTAATTAAGGTATATCTGATAAAGTGAGAAAATTGTTTGTCACGAAGTGGCATAACTGTCTGGACATATTATAGTATCCAGCATTGGGACTGTGCCAACAAAAACAACAACAGAAAAAGATCAAGGAACATCGCAGATGCACACCTGTACTGCTGCAACTCTGATTTTCGTTAAGACTAGAAAATAGTGATACCGCGAGACGAGAGAGTCTCGTCTCGACAAGATGAGACGAGAGAGAGATTTTTCTTGAATTGCTTGTTTCACTCACAATTTATTTATTCAAGAAGGAAAAAATTTACTTTTTGATTGATTGAAATTTTCAATTGCTTATCGTAACTTAAAATTTAAACAGATTTCCAGATAGTCAAAAAATATATATCACATGTATTCTATGTATATTAAATGGTAACAAATAATACGGGTCTAATTGGGATTTTGTAAATAACGATTTATAAGAAAAATTATTTTCCATGTCATTTATTTAAAATTAATTTTAAATTGATGCTGGAAGAAAATTTTTATAGACTTAAAAATTAAATTTCAAACGAAAAAGGTTATATTCATTGTCACCGATTACTGAAAAATGATTATGGGAGAACACATTTAAAATAGTTCTTGGGGTAATTTTCATAAATAACTTATATGTAGTCGATAAAACTGCAGATAAAAAGTTTTTTAACAAAACAAACACTTTCTCCTGCACGTTAAGATTAAATCGTATTTGCCCTTAATAGTAGGTACTAGTTTTTACATTTATTACTATAATGGGAATAGATTTGGATTAAACAAAGAAAAAATAAAATACTTTAGATTTATTAATTTGTAAATTTAAAACTGTAATGTAAATTAAAAAAACAGATTTGGAGAGTAAATTTAACTTCGTTTAGCCCCATGGAAAATTTTAAAGGTTACTCGCCCTATATAAATCACTTTCTTACATATCTAGTCAGTAATATGAATAGAAAGTAATTTTTTGCTATTATTGCTATTTTAAAAAAATATAAAAATGTATCGCCTAAAAACTAAAATTTTTAATAATATTTAATATAATATTATGTTTTTTGAAATTAATTTAAACAGATAGAAAATTTAAAAAAAAATACCTTGAGGAAATCTATCACAGTGGAATTGCACATGGGCAATTTGACCTCCAAAGGTGCTAATTGCGTGGGTACCGGTAAAATAACGCCATTGAAGAAATCATTATTTTTAAACGCTTGCATGTGTCGTTGCAATAGATCTCCCACTGTCGATCTGATTAGGAAGAGCTGATCCACATCTGATTTGCCCGGCCAAAGCGCCTCTCCCTTTATCAATTCAGCTAGTACACATCCTAAAATTAAAATTGGAAAAGAAGCGACTATAAAAATAATTGGTGGATGATAAAGGGGAAAATGACAATATGGTTACTGTAATTTGTGCAAATCGTAATTCAAAAGCTGCCTTTTACTATATTTATTGTTTGTGTTAAATGGTTACATGAAACGCTAACTGCAGAACATTTTTATAAATACAGTGCAACCTCTTTAATCCGAACACTTAATTGTCAGACCTTGTTCGGATTATCGAATTGTTCGGATTAACGAATATACAATAAAACACCTCTTTCACATTTTTAGACCTTTTGATCTATGTATGTATATTGATTTTTGTACATTTAAATGCATTATCAAACTACATACGGGCGACGCGGGCCGCACTGCAGGATAGCTATTCACTAAGTCATGGGAGCGCTCCCATGGGAGTGTTCCCATATATTTTGCTCTCTTTCCCTTAGGTGGGTATATCGTGCTTACTCACTTTTAGCCCAGGTACATGCGTAGTTAGGTCGGAGTAAGCTCGATATACCCACCTAAGAGTAGGAGAGCAAAATATATGGGAACACTCCCATGGGAGCGCTCCCATGACTTAGTGAATAGCTACCCAGGTCTTTTCCTGTCAGCGTTCGGATTACAGAGGCGGCGTTCGGACTATCTCGCATCACGATTTGCATTTGGATTAGCGTGGGTTCGGATTATCGAGGTTGCACTGTATTCAGAAAGTAATAAAAATCTCTTGAAATAGCTATTTGTGTATTAAGAGCGAAAAGTGGTACTTTGCCACTTGAGACAGAAACGCTCTGCTTCGCGCGGGCCATGTATCGAAAGCAGCAACGAAGTTTTCGCTCAAAATACACACAAGATCTTCTCTTCGATCACATTATTTTATGAAATAGATATAAAAACTGAGAATTTGTCCTGTATAATGTATTGCTTTTTTCTACCTTAATCATGAAAAAAGAAGTTGATATTCAAAGTCAATGTTAACTTGGATAATAAAACAAAAAACATATAACTACGTACAAATAACTTATATTATATTATATTAGGTACCTATAGGCGGACAACAAAGCTGTCAATTTTGTAGCGCGACGAGCGACAAAGCTATCAATTAATCTCAGTTCACGGAAAACGTCAACTTTGCGGTTGGATTTCGAAGCGCGAAAGCCTAATTTGGATAGTGATTGTAGACAATAGCTATTTGTGAATTAAGAGCGAAAAGTGATACTTTGTCGCTTGATACAGAAAGTGGCCCGCGCGACGCTTGGCGGAGTACGGCCAATTTCTCGAAAGCGAAAACGAACCTTTCGCTCAAATGCACATAAGATTTTTTCTACGAACACATTATTTTAAGAAATAGATATAAAAACTGAAAATTTGTTGTAAGTAGTGTATAATGTATTGTCTATATTTACGTTATTCATGAAAAAAGAAGTTGATATTCAAAGCAAATGTTAATTTGGATAATAAAACAAAAAAACACCAAACTACGTACAAATAAATTCAAAATCATTTATTAAAAAGAAATATTATTATTATTATTATTATTATATCTAATTTATATTAGGCGAGCAACAAAGCTGTCAAGTATTCCGCTCGACGAGCGACAAAGCTGTCACTTAATGTAAGTTTGCGGAAAACGTCAACTTTGCGATTGTATTTCGAAGCGCAAAAGCCTACTTGGGATAGTGATCGTAGAAAAAATCTATTTTGAACTCAAATTTTGTGAATACATTCTTTAAGGCAATTGGTATAAGTTAGAAAATATATTAAAGATTTTTTTGACATTCCTACTTGGCGCAGGTGTCAGATTTGAGATATGGATATGTCACCTTTCTGGAGTACCTAAATGGAAACTAACAATAATGTTTTTTGAAAATTGGTTAATTATAGGTATTTTTGTTTACAGAATTCCTTATATTAAATTTGTTTATTCGTCACCCAGATTTATCTCCCAAAAATCCAAAAAAATGTCTGGAATCAATTTATTGGTGTTTATTACATCAGACATATTATTCTTATTAATTTTATTAACAAGAAACGTTTTGATATAAACTTTTGTTGTAGGGTAAATTATTCCGTTTTTCTATTTTTCTATGGTCCTTTAGTGTTCTAATATCTGATACAAGAGAAGAGAGTATAAATTCTCGACAAACTACTTTATAAACGGAAGAAATGATCATGTGGTGAACTTGATGATTTTTTTTTTATCTCAGAGCACATTTTTTCTTGTACGATTCATTACTTAAACAGGTTCTTCTGCAAAAATCTAACCACCAATTTATATAATCGTCCACTAAACATCTTGAAACCTCGACAATTGAGGATTTTAATGGATTTGTGTACGCTTTAGTGAATATTTCGATATAAAGATTGCATATACATAACATAAAATATAAACAATTTAGTCTACAGCGAAAAGAATACGCGTTTGCGAATCTAAGTACATTTACCGCAGAAAAGGGGACATCTCACGGGGGACCTCTTTTCAAACCTGCAAGAACTCATTTTATTCTATAGGATTTTCAGGAGAAATATCATACGTTTAAAAATACTGTTTTTACGCTGACGTATGACATTTCTCATGAAAATCTTGACATAAATCACTTTCTCTCGAGTTTGAAAATAGCCCCCAGATATTTCCCGTTTGTGCAGAAGTGTCAATTTAATCGTTGCCCCATTTTCTCAGTAGATATCATGGGCGCCGCCAGAACTTTTTCCAGGGGGACGAGAATGCAAAATTGTGAATTCTTTAGAACAAATTACAGAAATGTAGGGATTTATAGACGCTATTCGCTATCGTGTAATAACGATACGGAATATAATGAGTTTAGGCATGGTTGTCAAATGCTACCGAGTTTACCGTTTCAAGGGATTAGATACTCTACAAAATATACCGAAAGTCCAGAGCGAAAACTCGATAAGTAATAAAATTTAGTTATGAAGATATTGCCCATTTAAGTATTGTTTTGTTCTTTTAATTACAAATAAATGCTTTTGATCGTTTGCCTGCGTCAGTTTATAGTACATATTGCTTAGAACGATTAAGCGGATTGCTTTTTTTTCTAAATTGATGTTTGCTATAGATGTACTGAAATAAAGACAATATGATATCAAATTATCAAATTTTCGCTCTATTGATTAATAGTTTCGAAAAAAATCAATATAATAGATAAATCGGTTTTATAAAAAATTCCTTAAATAAATCTAGAGCATGATTACATATTACTAGACACAAATTGTGCTACTTTAAAAAAGGTCTTATGTACTTCTTCAATGGCTAAAAATCCGACGACGTATCGAAATTTCGCTACTCCTGGCAACAATGAACAATATCCTACTTATCCTTCTGTAAATTTTTTTGGGAACTGCCCCCTTTACCTCCTTTGCCCCTTTTTGTCCCCCTTTGCCCCTCCCTGCCGACGCCCATGGTAGATATGTGTTTTAATCTCCAGATAATAATAATAATAATAATAATAATAATAATAATAATAATAATAATAATAATAATAATAATAATAATAATAATAATAATAATAATAATAATAATAATAATAATAATAATAATAATAATAATAATAATATAAAAATGTCACTGTGAAAAATATAGATATGTCCCCTTTCTGCAGTTAGCAATTTCATATGTGGAAAAATGCATTCGTCCATTTGCATGTTATATTTTTAAAGATTTACAAGCGCCAGGAGAACTTGAAATTTCGCCTGGAAAACTTATAAATCGAAAGTATTAAAATAACTTTTACCTATTGCCCAAACGTCTACAGGAGTACCATACTGTGTATCCCCTACCAATAATTCAGGAGATCTGTACCATCTAGTTGCCACATAATCCGTGTAATTTTCCCCTGGATCTAAAAACAAAAATAAGATCCTAAAATACTCCCGTTAAACATTTTTCAGATTTTCTCATACAGTTCTTTAAAACATGCCTAACTTATTTAAAATTAAAATTAATCTAATTTTGGATATATGTATTTGAAAATGATTCGGAGTTATTAGCTTTGAATAATAAATAACAAATGAATTTTTTATAACGAAAATTGGTAGGTATTGATTTGGGGTTTCACCTTGGCAATGAAATACTGAATTATTAAAAATAATAACAAATAGCTAAATAATAACGTGTTTAAATCTATCCGATTATTAAATGTTTCCTTTTAAATATACCTTCATTAATAGGGCGGTCAAAAAGAAGGAGATATAGCCAAATATCATTTACTTTGGACCTCATTACTTACCTGATTTCTAGCGGTTTTATGGGATCATGTCATTTTTTCGTTTTGTTTTAGTCTTTTCTACGGTGAATTCATATTTTTATATCGCATATATTTTAATATCGGTACCTACATAATCATAATGTCTGCAATTCCTTTAATTTTCTCTACATTTTGCTTGCTATTAACATCTTCTTTTGTAATTGTTTTTCAGTTATTTGCCCTGTACTATCTTCTTAATTGTTTTAGCCTATTTCAAATTATATGACTTTATGGTAAATCAGTAAGCACAATAATGAAAACTAATATATCTACGTAGTTACACTATTATAAAATTTATAACATTATAAGATTATATGCATGGCATTATAAAATTTATAACACTTTAAAGTTAAACATTTATTACATTATAATAATTATAAAACCACTCCCAAAACAAATTTTGATTATTTATATAGTAGTTTGTGCACCCAGAGTGGATATTACTATGAGTACGATAAGGAGAGTAAAATTAATAATCTTTATTTTCCAAGAGACATTACAAAATAAATGTAACTAAAAATGGAAGGATTACGATTTTGAGTTATTTAAGAGTTAAGATTAGATATTCCAATAATAGCTTTTTCTGAATCAAAAATAGCTCAGTAGAGACACTGGATAATCCCCAAAAACAGATCCATAACGTAACCTTGAATCTAAGTATAGGTTATTTCAACAGTTGGTCTAATTCTGAGATTTTTTAAATTCATGAATTGATACACTGATAGTTTAGATTTGAGTGCTTCACAATGATCAGTCCAAGTCAGACATTCATCCTCATGGATGTCCAGAAATTTAGTAGTATTCCATGAGTTGGATTAATCGGTACATTGGCACAAGTTTTTCGTCTGTTATGAAACCTTATCAAATTTGTTTTTACAGGTTTAAGATAACGCATGTTGGCCTTAAATCATTCATTCATTCATTCATTCACTCAACTTTATTAAAGGTGTCAGTAGACTTTAGATTTAGCTCATGTTCGCGTACATTTAAAACTATTAATGAGGTGTCATCAGCGTACATAATGGTAGGTAGGGGAATTATGCCTATGATGGCCTCTTTCCTATGATGGCCCATACGTTGTATTTTTAATCTCCCCCGATTCTCAGTCGGTAATTTTACCACATCAACTAAGTCCGTTGTAAGCTACATACGCAGTGTTGCAAGTTTGTTACAATTGTAATAAATCTATTACATTTATGAAGGGTTTATCACATTATTACATATCCAATAAATCTATTACATTTTCACAAGCCTCGAACGATTGATGAATTTGAACCTAACCTAACCGTGTCTTGATTTTATATATTCCTAATATATTGTTAATTATTTCATACAACTAATACCATGTTTATTTGGCTAGATTCTTCCCAAACATGTTTTCTTGAGCATGTCCAAAGCGCTCAAAAAGTTTCTTTTGTCATTTGACCTTGCAGTGGAGGCCGAATTTCTTTTTCTCTCTTTCTTAATAAAAGGTTTGTTTGTACAGAACCATTGTGAATTTATCTGCACTTGCATAGTACGAAGAGTAGAATAGTTAAATCGTACTACAGCTACAGTGTTACTCATGTAAGAATGTGGAACAAAAATATCCTAATGACAATAACTGAAAGATTGTTAATGTTCTTATCAATAAACATATATAAATGTATATTAAAAACATAAAACATTAATTATCAATATCAATACAATGAATCTATTTTTTATGTATAGTCGTCCAACATTTATTACAATTTTGAGAGTTTATCTATTACATTCATTGAGAGTGCTCTGGCAACACTGTACATACGCAGTATGAAGTCAGCGTCGGCCATAAGAAGGTGTTGGTGTGCGAAAATAAAAAAAGTAGGTCCTGATTTATTAATTTCGTTGCAAATATTAGTGAATTGATTATCTTAAAACAAGCAATTTGGAATTGAATTTTACATCAAATGTTTGTGTATATTGTGTTATTGTTTTTGAATCGAAATTCAGGGTAGAGTAAACAAAACAAGTGATATGAAATTTAATCAACTGGTATGCACTTTTGTTTATGATGGCTCCATGTATTCTTTCATTTGATGGACTAGAGGGCCATTATAGGAATAACATATTATGCAATTTATATATAAGACAGTAGATAATCCATACTTTTTTATAGTTATGGCCACTAAAAGACAGCAATGGGATGTGCTTAACATGGAACAAGCCATTAAGAATGTACAGGCAAAAAAATGGGGTATAAGTTAGCTGCTAAAACTTTTAATGTCCCCAAAACCACGCCGAGGAAAAGATTGGCCATGAACAAAGGTGCTCTTAAGCTGGGGCTTGGAGGAAAACTAGCCACTTTTTCTAGGGATATTGAAAACGAAATTGTTGATCACATCATCGACATGGAATCACGGTTTTTCGGTCTAACCAGCACACATTTGCGTAAGTTGGTCTACGAAGTAGCTGAAAAAATAATATTAGACACAATTTTAACAAAGAAGACAAAATGGCTGGGTGGAAATGGGTCAAATGTTTTTTACGACGCAATTCCCGCATATCTTTAAGAAATCCTGAAAATACTTCGTTAGCTAGGGCCCAGGCTTCTAACAAGCCTAATAATTCTGGCATATTTTAAGGTATTAGCGTCGATTTTGGACAAAAATGAATTTCTTCCTGAGAACATATACAATATGGACGAGTCTGATTTGACAACTGTTCAAAAGAAGTCGCAAAAAATATATGCTTGTAAAGGTCGGAAAAAAGTTGGTGCCCTTAGCAGCGCAGAACGCGGTTAACACGTTACTGTAGTATGTTCAATGAACGCCATTGGTTCTTACACGTACCACCTGCTATAATTTTTTCTCGTCAAAGAATGAAAGATGAGCTAATAAATGGTTCTCCACCGGGATGCATTTCGTTTGTTCAGGAGAAAGACCGGATGACCAGCGAACTTTTTAGCAAATGGTTGAAACATTTTGTTAGATATTCGAAAGCGTCTCTGGAAAATCAGGTTCTGTTATTATTAGACGGCCATAGTAGCCATAAAAGCCTTGAAGCCACTGTTCGCATTATGTCCAGCCCCTGGACGTAGGATTTTTTCGACCCTTGCAAACTTATTGCGGACAAAAAATTCAACTCTGGTTGCGGCAGAATCCTGGAAAAATTGTAACTTAGTTCCAAATGACAAGTTTATTTAGTCGTGCCTATCTAAAATTTGCCATACCTACAAACGCTATTAATTCCTTTAGGAAAACAGGTATACATTCGGTTAACCCGGACGTTTTTGAAAATTGGCAGTTTTCACCCTCTTTAACAACTAATAAACTCAAGAAGATGTCCTTAAAACTAAATAAAACCTTTCATTGTCCGAAAATACTAAGCCAGGATCTTCCAATCAAGGTAATAAGGACCATCCAACTAATAAACAAGAAAATAGGGTTCAACTGTTTGTTTGCCAGTAACTTGCACTACACAAACTATGACTAAATCACTAGTTCTCAACGTATTCGAATCAGCTCTTCAGCTGCTGAAGTTCGGTCAATGCAACGGAAAGGTAGAAAACGTGGAAAAACAGAAACGTTGAGTTCTACACCGGAACTTAATGAGCTTAAAGAAATAGCTCTTCAAAAGGCAGTCAAGTTAAGAAAAATTAGTGCGGGAACAGCGAAGCGACAAGTTTTTGTAAATAATAAAGATTCTGCAAGTGACAGTGATGAAGAAAATCAAGGGGTTCTTGAAAAATATCTGGAACATGACTTTATTGCAATGAACTTTATTCAAAATCAAAGGAAAAGTGGATTCAGTGTCAAGTCTGTAACTCTTGGTGCCACAATGATTGTGCGGGAGTTAGTCCTAGATGCAAGTGGTTCGTTTGTGAAGTCTGTGAATAAATGCCTATAGTAGTAGACTTGTTATTTTCCTGCTTGTGTTGCAACTTTTGTGGTTTTTATATTTTTTTTAAGAATAATGTACAATTTATTTTACATTAAACTTTATTTTGCGGTTTGTTTTGAGGAATGTGATTTTTATACATATTCTAAGTGGTCCAATATAGGAAGACTCCGGGGTCCATCAAAGGAATATATACCTATATTCCTATGTTGGACCACTTTAAATGTTTTTAAAAAAATACTGTCAAAAATTAATTTATAACTTTAATCTAGAATACAATGCAGGTTTTGAAAGCCTTTATCAAGACCCGTAGAATGAGCTGAACTGGCTAACAAAATATTAATAAATATAAAAACTATATGGTATTATTCTTAAGGGGGCCATCATCGGCATACTTCCCCTATTTGACTAGCTAAATCACTTAAATCATTAATTAGTTTGACAAATAATATTGGCCCGAAGTTTGAACCTTAGAGAACGCCAACGTCAATAGTTTAAAACAAAATGAAGCTCAACATACTGCTTTTGATCGCTTAAATAGCTAAAAATCAAATAACCTCAAAATGTAAAGAATCATTGCAAACTCTCCCCTCTACTTACTTAACATCCTAGCAAATCCAAAATCACACAGTTTGACCACTCCAGTTCCCGTTAACAAGATGTTTTCAGGTTTGATATCCCTATGGATGCACCCATGTTGATGACAATAAGCGACAGCGTGTAGAGTTTGCCAGATTATCTGCTGCGTCAGAAGGTCTGGACATCCTCTGGGATACCTTTCCAGCTCGTTTAGTACGGTCCTTTCGCAGAATTCGAACACAAGATGGAGACGCCGTTTTCTTCGAAAAACTTCTATGAGATTTACTAAATTCGGGTGTTTAAGGTTCTGTGGGAAATATTAATTATATTGAATCAATGTCAAACCTGTGAATTATTTTATTACAACTCCACCAATAGAATATTATATTAAAAAAATCTTTAATCATGAATTGTGGCTTACAATATTTCAAATTTTATATCGATCTCAGTTTAACTTTGTGAGCAAGTGAAGGTCGCATGATGCCAAATCTTGAGAATACGAGAATACTCAATAATAATTGTGTTTCGAGGTAATAATTGCTTTACAGTTATTGTTTGTAAATTATTTATTAATCTTATTAGATAAAAAATTCTAGTTTGAATGAAGAAGTTAAAAAGAAGTTAAATAGACAGAGAAAACCTTTCGAATTACAATTTCACTTGGACGGAATCCAAAAAGTTCTTTAAACTACAATTTAAACTACAATTTAAACCAATTTGCAAAGAAAAATTAAGTTTAGTGTAAGTTAATCGTTTATAAATACCTTTAAAAGTCTAATTTCTCTAAGTGCAATTTTCCTAATGAGAGGGTCCTCTTCGCTTTCCGCAAATTTTTTAATAGCCACAATTTCACCGGTATCCCGATTTCTACATTTATATACAATTCCATAACTGCCTTCCCCTAATTTTCCGATCTTTTCGTATCGTTCCATCGTTCTGGATGGGGTCCTAGTCCTGGAAAACAAATGGATTTTAACACATGTTACATAAGATTTGGGAGAAAGTTTTAGAACTCCCGAATTCCTAATTGTTTGATAATTCACATTTAAATTAAATTGAATTCATCTACATTTTTTCTCCTCTGTTTTTTGTGGATTCTAACATTTTGAGGTCTAAGGTGTTGCAACTGCTTTCCTATTTCAAGATGGTCGATATTCGACTGGTTGGAATCTTTTCCTATAGGAATTTTTTACATTTTCCTATCTATAAGGAATTCATGACAGAAAAATGTCAAAAATTCCTATAGAAATAAATTCCTACAAATCGAAAATTCGAGAGTTATTCCAGTCTAGTGATAAAATCGAAGCCTTTTTTATTTCCAATTCTTCATTCTGTTATTTCCTGATTGGAGTAGAAATGATCTAAGTATTCTTGCGATATTGTTACCTAGTAGAACATTATCACTATCAAGTTGTTTTTTATCATAATAGACTATTTTCATGGGCGTCGTTATACAATTCTATAGGGAGGGGCAAAATTTTGTAAAAAATTTAGAATGTTTATTTGTTGGAAAACAAAAAAAATGAAAAATAAAAGAGCATTTTCTTATGATGGATTCAATTACTCTGTGACGTCATGGCTTACTTCCGGTTTTTCCAGAAATAACAGAAAATAGCAATAAATTTTTTATTTTTAAATGAAAACTCTTTTTTTTATTGAAAATTTGAATTTCTGGGACATTTTTGCATAAGAAGAGTGTATTGAAAATTTTCTATCAGTAACACATTAAAAAATATATTATCCAATATGACGGTCATTTTGACAGCTGACAGAAAATTTTCAAACACATGATTCTTATCCATAAATGTCCCTAAAATTCAAATTTTCAATAAAAACGGGGGTTTCTATTTAAAAATTTAAAATAAATTGAGATTTTATATTATTTCCGATAAAACAGAAGTAAGCCATGAAGTCACACACCAATCGAATACAGTATATTATGAGAGTATTTGTCCCAAGCTTTTAAACAAATAAGTTTTCATTCCAATATCTCAACAACGTAGATAAAAGCGGATGGAATTATTAAACGGTTTGCTAATAATAAAAATGCTTAGATACGCCACTTGTATACGGTAAATGGGTCTCAGTGGGAATTTTGAAGCCTAAAAAGATTTTATAAAGTTCGTACATTCCTATATGTTTTTCCATAAACGAATTAATAGTAACATATTTAGGAAAAATATTATCCAATATGGCGGCCATTTTGACAGCTGACAGAAAATTGTCAATACATGATTATTATACCAAAATGTTCCAGAAATTTAAATTTACAATAAAAAAAGAGGGTTTCCTTTTAAAATTAAAAAAAATCGATTTTCTGTTATTTCCGGAAAAACCGGAAGTAAGCCATGACGTCACAGAACAATTGAATCCATCATAAGAAAGTATTTGTTCTAATCTTTTAAACAAAACAAAATTATTCCGATAGCGAAGATAAGGGGGAGTGGGACTTTAGTAGTAACCCTAACAATGTCACTGACCTATTTGACTTAAGTCTTTAATAAATAAAATAACCCAACAAAAAAGACCAAAATTAAAATAAAGGAAAAACAAGATATTAAAACACATTTTTAAAAAACAAACAGAAGGTGTGATACAAAAGAAAAATATGAAAAAGAAGACAGCCATACATAATATAAAAATATTTTTTTTTTTTTTAACAAAAACATAAAAAACTCATTAAAACACGACGATGAACACAAAAAAAAAACACAAGAAAAACGCAAATTTTAAATTTCTATTTTCTCTACTAAAATTATCGATAACAGTCAGCCTATTTTCATTCATTATTCGCTCCGTGCGTGACAGCAGCGCCAACTATTTTATGAACTAACGGACGATATTTGCGTATACTGACAATACAATTTTTAATAGAGTTTGTAAGTGAAAAAATTATTATTATTATATATTTTTATTAATTCAGCTAAAAAAAAAGTAGTATAATCAAAAAAATCAATAATAAAACATAGGCAGGTATTTACGAGAAAATGTATGAGATCTTGCCTAAGCCTAATAAGTTATCATTGAAGAATAGGTCAAATAATGTCAAAATAAAAACATTACCATTATATAATAACGTAGAATTAAAACGTATTAACAAAAATAATTGGTATATTTGTTATTGTAATTTATATTTTCTTCATTTTTAGTTCGAAAGAACCCATAGAAATTAATGATTAAAACTGGTTTCCTATCAATAAGTCACAAGATTGCATTTCAGCCGTATACAATAATCAAAGGCAGAAATCTAATCATTTGCTAAAGTTAAAGATTTGAGGGATGTTGAAGAATATCATATAATAATTTATTGTTTATTTAAAACCTTTTCTGATGTCTATTATTTCCAGTATTACTGTTATTATTACAAAAATAAAGGATTTTTTTCTTCTTATTATACAGCTGTCCATTTATTTCTTTGATTTAATTTCGATTTTGCTACTGAAAATTTATATAATTTACAGTTTTTTTTGCTAGTATAATTTTCAACATAGCAACTCCGGTTGCTCATTTTATTGTTTGACACCTATTTTTTTAGTAAAAGGTAAAATGTATACGTGTATTTGATACGCCAAAATTACAAAATATCGCCCTAAAGTACTCGAATTATCCGCAGCTTGAGCTAGTATCGCTTTTGCTTCCCCTACCATGACTTCTCACTGACCAAATAGACCGCAGCCATGTTTTAACATGCCTTAGCATGCTAAACGTTCTTTCGATTAACTCTGTCGTTGGTGGAAGAGCCATAAATAATATTTAAACCTCTTTGTATGTCTGGATAAAATTCACAATATTTGGACGCTATATCATTAATGGAGAGCTCATTGTGTGCAGAAAGCTCTTTCGTACTCCAGTTTGGTATTCAGCTTCAAAATTGTCGATTCCAAATTTTTCCACTACTTTCATTTTCTAGTCGGTAGTGAACAAAGTATTTTTTTATGTTTATGGAATGTAACAGGCTTAAGGAAAAATAACAGAGTCTTCTTAAAGCGTGATTTAAGCGACGTAAGGGAATCCAGATATGCAATAAATATATTCAACCTATAGTATTCTTCAACTATATCAATTCTTCAACTATATTAGCCTGAATATTATTATTTCTATGAGATTGTTGTTCGTAATGCATATCTTACGCGATGTTGATTAGCTCGTAAAAGCCAGGGGGGACAACTGCCCATGACTATCTTCATGTTAATGTATTTTTTCTACGTCCATGTCAGTAAACATTAAAAGTCCCACTGTCAACATTCCTTGTAAATGACATTTAACAATAATATACACGTAATGAGATCTCATAACATACACGTGCGTTTTGATAAGAAAACTTAAATTTCTTAGTTCAATCAAATTGCAATCAAATTTGGTCTATTTACATAAATTTAATCAATTAAAAAACATAAAAACCTTTAGCATTAGCGAGGCAGGTACATTTTGGATTAAAAAAGTGATTCCTCTAAATGTCGGCAACACATTTATACAATTTTAAAAAACTAAGTCGCGTTGTCTTAGCATATTATAGAAATAAACGTCGTTTCGTTTGTATTGTCAATTTATGTAACAAAATAATATTATTATATTCGAACATTTTCTCAACTTTACCTACGAATATGTCTGTTAGTAGTGAAATTATGAGCACTCCACCAGAGATTTTAGAAAATGCTCTAGCTGCCACACATAATTTATTACTGCTAAAATCCAAAGAAATGTACTAAATTACCTATCGAAAATTTATGGATTGGCGACACAAGCATATGTCCTTTATTTGATTAAAGAAAATAAGGGAGCGTAGAAAAAGTATAGTACGTTACACGAGTTGTAAGCCCATTACACACACATTACAACTCTTGTTACGTAATATACTATTTTAAATTACAGTTAGAAAGAGCAAATATGCAATTACGAATTACATTAGTAGTTAATTCTTGCACTTTTCGGCAACGTTATCAAGCAGCAGGATTTTTGAAGAGCTGAAAGGCAATCCCAATATGTCCCTAGAGAATGCAAAATGGGCCTAGTGAGGCGTAACTGTTGTGAGGGTATGCTAAACGGTACCTTAGATATGGCCTGTGTCCTTTCTTTTTTAGACACCCGGTGCATTACTTTAAATAATATATAAATACAAATTTAAATTTATTTTACAATCTATTCGAACTACAGCTTTTGAAATGTGAAAAATAATCAATAAATGATTATCTATTCTGAAATCGGTATGTAGGTAGGCGTGGGTGCTTATTTCAGTAGGTAAATTGGTGGGGTAATAATCGCAGTAGATACGAGCTATTTTTCAGCAGTTCCATTAATAAATATAATTTATTCAATGCCTAAAATGCGAGTAAAAATACCCCAGTGACCTTTACATTTTGCGATAGAAGATCTTTATTTGGCTTCTAATGAGAAACGTATACGAATAACAATGATAGATTGTTTGTTAAATATTTATTTGCCCCTATTATAATAAAATACTAAGAAAACAACTTTTCCAAAAAAAAAATAGGATAATAATCTCAGAAAATATTATTTAAATTTAAGGAGTAATCGAAAAAATATATTTCTAAAATAGGTCACGGAATAGTATATTCTTTAACAAGGTTGGAACAGACTTAACTGACTGCACTTTCTCCACGACCACAGACACAGTAAGAGGAGTTGAATATAGTAAATTGAAACTTTGAACAAAATGAAATAGTTAGTCTAACTTAGGCAAGTTAATTATTTAAATTATTTACATAATTTGTCAATTCAGGAGAAATATTAAATTCCATATAGTTATTATTATATTCACCAGTTTTTGAATTTAAGTTCGACTTAACAAATGCCACTTATCTTTATTCAGACAAATTCTAAATACTAATACGTCGCGTAGAACTGTCAGTAATGAAATTCATGACTATCTACGATGCGGACGTGGTATTCAAAGCCATTGGCCAGTAGCTATTACATAATAAACATTCTGTCTC